TTCAGAGAGTTGTCAAATGAAGAAGACACAGAGTACTATATCGATCCTAGCACGCAAGAAAAGTCCAACAATATTCTTGTCACGTCTGAATCCGGCAGGTAATTATTTATCTGATAACGCCTGTTATATTTAATATTAATAATAAAATTACGCTTAAAATATAAATTATATAATGACAATTTCTTTGCACAAAATTCCCTTTAGTACATAAAGTAATTCACTTATACCACATCGTCTCATTTTAAAATGATCGTTTTAAGTGGTCATCATACAAAAATAGCTACTCGTGGTTCTATATATTAAAAAACTCGCAAATTACCTTGATGGATATTCTGAAAAATATAAAAAAATAAGTTTCCTATAAATTATAAAATCTATAAGTAATTGGTATTTTTCACAAGCCATTTTTATTTAAATATCGTATTATATTGAAACGATCAACTCATACATAACTAAGAGAAATGCAAGAGCAAAAGTATTTGTTTCATTCGAATTGATATTGATATTAATTTATTTTTGTTTCAGCAACCTCCGGAGGAGTTTTCTCTTTAAGTTTTGGCGCATCTATTATAACACTTATTGAATTCATTTATTTACTTATATCTGCACTAGTAAAATTTGTTTATAATGTTTGACAAAAAATGCAAATTTGAAAATTATATCTTGTGATTTTGATATTACAAATATACTTAAACTTATACTAAATATTGTTTTCGAGAATGTTACTCTCGCGCTTCATATTAATGTAACAAACGAACATCGCCGGGCCGACATCGTTGTATGAATAAAATATCATATAACCAGTGATGCTGTTGACTCCGCTGAACGAACACCAAGCCGTGTGAACCAGAAGATTCACTCAAAAAATGGATTGGGATTGCTATCTTAACGTCGGGGCAATCATGTAGTCTTAGGTATAGGTAATAAGTTTTAATATGTAATTCTCATTACAATATAGTATGTACATATAAATAAGTTTCTCAATTTTCCTAGAACCTCCGGTTGCCACCCTTATATAATTGGCACAGTCGTCGAAGTCATTGGAGTTGGTCATAATGGAACTAAATTATATCACTAATTACATCAACTTTTGTAACACATCTGTTGCCGTTTGTACAAAACCACATAGACCTTAGTAGATTTAAGGTAGCGAAAGTGAAGGCCACATGTTTATTGTTTATATACTTTTTCGTATTTCGATGATTTATATTCCCTTACCGAATGTTACACGCCAAGATAATTATATGTTCCTGTATTGGCTTTTAAAAAGTACGGTATTTTATTAGTTTATAAAAATAAAACACTCATAGAATTTTGTTTATAAAAGATTGTATACTAAAATAAGTTTCTAAAAATGGTTTTTTCAAGTTATACTTTAATATACACTTATTAATATATAAACTAGAACATATAATAGTCATAAATTGTTGTGATCATAAAAAACTCTAAAACTGTTTTTAATTGATTTAAAAGACAGTAGACCCCAGCTGTGGTCAAGTTCCTGAATGTCGAACATGGGTTGACTCGACTTGCTAAGCTGGTATTTATTCTTCTAAGTTGGTACTTATTTTTTTAAGGGTGCTCTCACAGAAAATCAATGGAGAGGAGCAAAGTAATAGTCTTAATTATGATTAACCGTGTAGAAGTCATATTAATTTCCACATAATGATATTATCATGCTTTGGAAAGTCAAAATATGATACATAGTTTCTCCTGAAGTTAAACTGAAGTTTAAGCGAAATCAACAAATCAGTGGAAATAAATTCAATGAAATGCTAAGGTTTTTCGTGTGTTGCGTGAACACATATGTTTCAAATTCCTTAAATGCGCTATACGTAATTAGACTTCCAGTTATATATTTATACTGTTATTCGGTATTCCTTTGACGACTCAAAACAATTTTACTAAACAAATATACGTTTAGGTTTAATTTATTACTTTGGGTAAAGAACATACTTGACATATTTTGTACGTTTATCACATTACAAATAAGGTAGCGTTGTTAACCATCATTGACGTTTAACTTCTGCACGCTTTTAATATTTAACATTGAATAATAGAATATTCAATGTAATTTAAAAGAAAATCTGAGTAGGTTTATGTCAAACATTATTTTGTAAGTCGCTATGCTCGTCACTATAGCAAATTGGTCAAAAAAAAATCCACACGCTTTCCCAGAGGGTGAGTAGATGTAAATTATTTAGATATTAAAGAAAATAGTGTGAAAATCTTAAAAGATATCATTTCTTTCGTTGACGTTTTCGTGACCTTTTTGAATATGAAAATTTCTAAGAAAACATTTTTTAAATAACATTTTATATTCATTGAATATTTCATATTTTTAATATTTTTTGGGTAGACTATTACTTTCGTTTATTAATTTAAATGAATGAAAATGATCTTTGTTGCTAAAACGATAAATAACTTTTTATCTAAGTTCTAAAATATATATATTTTTAGAAATAATAAACACATTTTCATATGTAGTTTCTATATATTCATATGACAATTTAAACAACTCATTTTAAAAAGAAGTAATGTAAAAATGCATACATTACTGATGCATCACATTTGCACAAAAATATTAATAATTTTAATTTTATAAGACAATTAAATAAAACACATTGCAAGGTATCAATCAACACCAACTGCGACTAATATAAATATGTTTATTAATAAATTAACTCATACCATAAGATCTCGTATAAATAAAATACATAAAATTCATACAGGAAGAGTTGTTCCGATTTATAGATAGTTATTTTATTTAGGATATATTAAGTAGGTAGGAAAACTAAATGTAAAATTTTCTATAGACTTGTAAGTCTGCATAAAATTTGCCATAGACTATTTTAAAGAAAGATTGAACAATTTTATTTAATTTTAATTTAAAACAATTTTCACACATTGATTACACTAGGAACTTGATACAAATTACGACTTACTATATCATATCTTACTATATAAGACAGAGTACAGACACAAATCCACGGATTGTACATACATATATCTTAAAATTTACAAAAATATTCAATTCTTTGTTATTTCATGAAAGAGTTAAAAGAAGAAATTACTTAATAAAAACCAGCTTCTCTACCTTTGTGTATGTTTTACCACTCTATTGTTGTATAACTCATTCACTTATAAGATAATTTTGATACTAATCATTTCAATGTTTTCTTTTATTCAGTTATCAAAGTTAATTTATTTTAAATGTCATCCTTATCTTTTGTACTTTCTACAACCAATTTAATTAATATAAGGATATTTGCTTTCAAATTGGTTTTGTATCTGTTTTGACGTCAAAGTAAATATTTTGTTCGTTCTGCTATTGTGAGGCATCACTTTTATTTGTTGCCGGTACAATATTGTAAACAAAAGCTCTAGTAAAAACCACAGTAACTCAATAACACTCACAATGGATCCCCCGAGGCACAAACCGAAGATAGCGCCCAGATTGGCTGAAAATATATAACAAGGAAATTTGAAATAATTACAGCTTTTATTTTATTAATATCTAATCAGAAAATAATTGCTACTAAAAAAAAATACTAACAGTTAAATTGACTGAGAAGTTTTAAGTTTAAGGTTGGAATATTTAAATGTAACTTAATTACAGATAATTACTTTCGAGCTAAAAATGTAGCCTATATTTTATAATTACCGAGCATCTGATCCCAAGTATAGAGAACCTCTCTTCGATACTTGATACAAGTATCGTCAGCAAAATGAACGGCGACACGACAACTATGTTGAGTCTGACTAAAATAAAGTCATATTTAGTAAGCTGTGGTTAATAACATACTATAATTACTGAAATTGCACATTCTATGTATAAAATTAGTAACAGTTATACGTTGTACATGAGATATTAGTGTCATATTAAAGTTGCTGAAATAAACAGTTAAAACTGTTTTCTCTATTTAAATTGTTAGTCTATTTTATTAAATAGAGTTAAATTTCTTACTTGTCATTCTTATCCATGTTGTAATAATATGTTTTGGTCTCGTACTGAACTAAGTCACACTTTTGATAACATTCCTTCTCCGACATTATATGTCTAATATGGCTCTGTACTTTATCTAGAATTAAAATATAATGTAATAAGATAATAATTTTGTTTTTGGTTAATATATTTTAATAACAGTGACCTCAGCTCTTTCTAATCTAGTTTCTACCATCCTCGAACTATCCCACGGGTGTTTTGATAAAACAAATTAGTAATAACATCGCTTTACACGGTACCTAAGATGTTACATATTATGACCACATGTGATTTTAATGTTAAGATGAATTGAGATATTGAATAAAGAATAAATTTATATTATTTCAGAAAATCTTATAAAAATATTACTAGAAAAGAAAGGGCCGTATAATAATTTAAACTAAGTTTCGTTGTTTTCTTAAGAACTCAAATCTATGGTATTTATTTAAAATAATTTCATTGTCTAGGCGTTATGACAAATAGTAATGTTTATTCATATCTCTATAAGGCATTTTAAAAACTCAAATAAAACGTTAAGGGCGATTTATTTATAAACCTATGAGGAGTATATGTATATCAACAAGTGTATATTATTTTATTGACATATCTTCTTTTAAGCAATATCATGATCATAATAATAAAGAACCTAAATATTTGAAAAAAAAACCTGTGTTCTTAAACTTACTTAACATGTTGTAGATACATTTTAATCGTTCCCATGTACAAGGTGGAAATTCTTCCAACTTTAATTCTTCTGCTATAAAAAAGTTAGAAAATGTACAATAAAGTAAAAATGTTAACAAATTTATCTTAAAACTTACCACTATATTTAAATGGTAAACAGCGACAGTGTGTAACCACCTTCTGCAATAAGTGTAAAGTTATGCAACTTTGATAGGAATCAGCCTCATTGTCTGTGGTCTAAAATTAAAAAAAAATGGTGAAAATCTTAAACTGATGAACAATGATTTTAATAAATTCTAACAAAGGCAACAGTACTTCACTCAGAAAACACCTTCTATCCGGCAAAGAAAGAGTTCTGACGTCTTCCGACGACTCGATGATCCAAACAGCGACTGTGATATCGAAATAAGCTCTGGCAGTGAGCATGATCGATGTGTCCAGAAGAGTCAGCTTATTTTGGAGGTCGAATACATAAAGCTGAAATATCAATAAAAGTTACATAATAAAAAAATAATTGAAAACTTTGAAATAATAATATGAAATTCAAACAAAGATCGAGAAACATGTACATTAGGGACACTATCAGAAGAAATTCCTCTTGTTGATATTGTTTCTGTGTTCACAGTTATCTCCAAGGCCTCTGATATATCTTTACCTGCTTCCAATTTAACGTTTTCATTTGCTTGCGTCCTGAAAATATTTTTAATATGAATTATTAAATAAAAAGGTTATTATGTGTCAATAAGTATTATTTGAAGAAAATATTTTTTTTCTTTGTTGCTAGTTGCTTATATTGAAATAAACAATTTTTTGGAGAATTTTGTGTATTTAGTATGAATCAGCATAAAAGTTTGTTTGTAGCCTGGAGCCATTTTCAACAAGTTAAGGTTATTTTGTATATTACAAAACATAAGTTTTGGTATTATTGCCAGAAAGTTGTTTTTGCCAAATTTAACCCAAAATAAGACGGTTTCCAAGATATTGTGTAATAACCCTAGTTAAAGTTTTTATTTCGGGTAAGGATCAATAAACTCGATCGATTTCTTTCTTGGCCAGGTTGGAAATGAAATATTTTATTATAAAATAAAACTTTTTGTACCTGAAATATTTGACATCAAATTGGCAGCAGTATCCCATCACCGTGAATACCTTTCTAAACATTCGGGAACATTCGACAGTCTTAGATCTCCACATACATTCTTGAATCAAAAGGTGACATGGTTTACTTAACTGAAATAAGATATGAGCTATAACGATAACTGTTCATCATAATATTGAATGTAACTGTAGAAAATTTATAATTATATAACGGGATATTTTTCATATCTAATCATCTTTTTATTTTAAGATTCACTTTTGAAATACTTTCAAAACCAAAAAAGGCACTTAAAGTACTGGATTTCAAACATAATCGACTACAGCCGTTGGTATTGATAATTTGTATTTGACTTCAGACTCATCAAAGTATTTAAATCTCCTGTGATATTCGTTTCACACTATAACAAATTTATTGTAACTCTTAATCCTAAAGCGTGTTTCACATGACTAATATAAAATCATGTAATTTGAAGGTATCACCATTTTAAAATAAGACACAATGACAGGCAATGATAACAAAAATTTTAATCAATATACCTTCTCCAGGAGTATGTCGTATGTGTATCCTAATCGTTCAAGTATGTTATGCATTTCTTTAATATAATTCTCTGGATTATAATTATTATTTCTTATGTCATTAAAACTTTGATAAAAATCATTTATTTTGTCCCCATCATAACCACGAAGACTCCTAAAAGTAATGAATTATTTTATTTTATCAAGAATGTATAAACATTAAATACCGGTATCTATACTCCAGCCACATTCGATGTGGAATTTTAGTAAACAAACCATGAGTCATTATAATTAGGGTTGATACGCTCTTAAAAAATAAATATTATTATAATTACAACTATATTCATTATAACAAAATTTCCTGTTTAAACACAAAAATTTTAATAAAGTATAGAATCCAAAAAAATTATTTAGTCGGTTAATACATAATTTATATGAAAATTAGCTGAAAATAAAAGTTAAAAATCTTTAATTACCACTATAATATTACTACAAATCTTTTTTTTTTTTAATGTGAAAGGTGGCAAACGAGCAGACGGCCCACTTGATGGAAGGTGGTTACCGTCGCCCATGGACATCTGCAACATTTTGTTGCGGATGCATTGCCAACCTTGTATTTTGGGGACAGGGAGGGGTGGGAATAAGGAAATGAAAGGAAAGGGTAGGAATAGGGAAAGGGCAACCGGCTCTCTCACTCATCAGACGAAACGCAGCCAGTAAAGGCTATTTCACGCCGATCTTCTGTGAGAGGGTGGTACTTCCCCGGTCGAGCCAGCCCATGTTCGAGCTGTAGTAACTCACCACAGCTAGGCTCTACCACCTTTGAACTAACAAACCTATATTATAATACTGACGTAAAGAAATCGCAGTTTTGTAACATTTGGAGTGTATTCTAAGCAATTAATCAAGCCATTCAAATATACACAAATTTTAATCTAAATGAGTCCTGTCGTTTGGGAGGCGATAAATAAAGTTAATAAAGCGAATAATATAACTACGAGGTAATTTATGATATCATTTTAAAATTGGATTTATTATTTTTGAGATCTACATTATTCCAGATGATTATAACCATTATAATTATAACCAAGAATGCGCTTAGTCCTTTCACTTGAATATTTTATTATTAATCATCAATTTTAATTTATATTAACATCAAAAATAATTATTGTACACTAGAAGACTTGGCGAACTTCGTATCGCCCTATAATCAAGAAATATCTATTACTTTTTTTTATTTATATTTTTGGAGTTTACCTGTGAGCTATAAATCTCCGTGTTTTGAAGTGCGACAGAATGATTGACATATTAGTTAGTTGTCAAATCTAATGTCAAAAAAAAACGTTTGTATGGGAAACAGAAAAGGGCTGTTTTTATGGTTTTCCCAGTAATAAATCAATTTTTTTCAGCTTTTGTACCTTCCCTGAACCTCCAGGAATATTTCAAGACTAAGATAATATAAATCCGTTTAGCTGTTCTCGAGTTTTAGCGAGACTAAGGAACAGCAATCCATTTTTATATATATAGAAGATATTTCTAAAAATGTTTTGAGCATCTGCCTGACGTTGGTTGCTAAGCAACGCTTTGTTATTAAACATTCCACATCGGATTTGACTAGAGTATAGATAAAAACATTTGGTATATTAAATTTTATATTAAACATTTCCATGGCCAATATATTATACAGGGTGACTGGTGAATTACTATCAATATTGAAGGAGAATACTCGGTACATGATTCTCATTCGAATTATGTAAAAAAAATAAGTAGTTAATTTTTGACCAAATTTCCGTATAAATAAATAAAGTGTGGACACGTTCCAAGTGTTCCAAGTGTGGACGCGTGCGGCGGCGTGCTGATACAACACTACGTCGCCGCCGCGTCTGTGTGTGTGTGTATGTATACCTAATCTGTAGGGTGTTCACACGATGCGTAATTAATTACATAACTTTTGGTTAACTTTACTTAGAAGTTTATTAATATTTATGTTATATTAATTTATATTTTGTCATATATGATCGTCAAATATCACGTCCTCAAATATCGTTAGTAATTCACCAGTCACCCTGTATAGTATAAATTACATTATTGATTTTTAAATACATCTATAAAACAAAGAAATAAATCACAAATAATTATTTAAACTAACAGTATCCTGGTGATATTCTCCGTGTTGGGACCTTTATCTATTTCCGAAATACAAACAGCGACGGCCGGTAAAATTACGTTATCCATTGAGTAATGTGTAGATTCAACCTTCGAGAAAATAAGTAATATATGTAACTGTTTATACTTACTGTTCTTTTCACGATAACAAGTTTAGATTTTTGATAAATATAAGTAACGTCAGTTACTTAAATATATTAATGAAGGAGATAAAATGTGTCACTATTGTATACTATTTATTATTTACCCTTTTAACGTCTTTGATTCTCAGATCCTTTTATCTCAGATACAATACATTGTACATCAGTTTAGGTAAATACAACACATTTCTTAATAAATGACATAACACTAAAAGCGATTTAGGTTCACTATTCCTCTTATTATTTGATTTACCTGACATTTTCAACCCAATATAAGAATTATGCTTAAATATATCATTGCAAGGGATCATATTCAAAAATACTATAAATATTTACCACAGTAAAAGTAGGATTGGCGACAAACTTGATCCAGATCATGTGACTGAGATATGCACAAAGACTCATACTAGAGCCTATGATGATAATCCACATACAATACAACCACAAGGAGAGAGTCTTATAGAAATAGAAAACTCCGTGTAAAGTACAATGCTTACAAAACAATATAAACTTAGACAAAATAACTAAGCCGAGATTATTATTATACATTTAAAATAATAATTTAAAAAAAATCAGTTGTTAAAAAGTGACTGAACTGAATATGCCTTGGAGCGAAATTGAATATAAAATAAAAAGTCCTTTTCATAGATGTATACTTAAGTGAAGGTTTCTTCAACAATGAAACAAGAGCTCCACTGACTAAACTTTCTGTTCTTTTATACATTAATAACTTTCTAATGTATTGTATGTCAGTTAAAGTAGTAATTGAATGAAAAACTTAGGAGTTCTATTACTTTAATAATTAATTAAATAAATAAATGTACTACCAACAAACAATAAACGACATAAGATTCAAGTTGTAGAGAATATGTATTTTAACAGAACTTTGTTAAATTAATAAGTTTTGTTAAAGTTACTTAGTGGCAAATAAAAAAATTAATTAAATCCATTTAATATGCCTAGTACTTAATAAATTATAAAGATTGTGAAGATGCTAGTTGACAAATATCATTTTCTGTTCACGGAGACTGCATGAGATTAAAAAGTAGTATTTGTATATATTTTCTAATGAACTATTGAAAATAAAATAAAAAGAATAAATGAAATATATGGAAACTAGTAAATATAGCAGCTTGAAAAATCCATGATATACATGTGTATGTAGCCTCTGTTTCCAAATTCGTCCAAATTTAATTAAAAACTCGAATCACGACTGCAGTTTAAGTTAATTCCAGATCAAAGTTGCTCCGTCCATGTTTTGATTGAAGTATAATTGATGCACAAGTTTCAGTGAATCTTGAATTAATTATTAGTTTGGGTAACATTTACTTCCAGTTTATTATAAAACTTTTTGATGGTAAATTTCAATTACTATTAGTAACTTTTTATAAGTATTAGGTACTGTTAGTATTAGTGTCTTAATGAGAAGAGTGTTCCATTTATTAAGTTTAATACAAAAATAATTAAAGAAATTCAAGTGTGTCATTATGGTTACTGTGTCTTTAATCAAAAGCGACATTGAATCTTTAATAGCACAAGCGAAGCTTTTAGAAGGGTCGTTTCTGTTTTTATATCAAATATTTGAAGTAACGCATTTCATATGAAATGAAATTTATATAACAAGTAACAATTTTCATTGACATAGATAGGTTCAGATGAAAAGTGACTGAAAAACTCTTAATTAATGCTTCGAAACATTTTGATATTAAACTTTGAGTTTTACGTTCAAGTTGAATTCAAAATTGTAATTAGTGAAATCAGCTTCATAACATTCATCGCAAATTTCAGTGTCATGGGGTTATCATAAAAACATACACAGTCTTATAAGATTAATAAAACTTTGTTCGCATATTAATTATTATTACGTGTACATAACTTAGGAAAAGGGTATTGTTTTTTATTCCCATTATCTCCGTATTAAAGAATCTCTTTTCCTTTAAAGTCAGTTATGTTTTTTTAAACAACCTTCAAACAAAAAAGATTACTACAAGAAAAATATGGTTTTATACCTATTGCACATATTGCAATCCATTAATATCCATGATAACCATATTTTACTATGAAATCCTACAATACTATGTGACGTTTTTTGTGTTTTGAATTTAATTTCATATTTCTTGTAACATTTGTCAGCAGGTCATGTTTATATAATGACGAGTTTTATCTCTTATGGTCACTACATATACATACATATAAAGCTACATATATACGTTTTAAAGAAGGTTGAAATTCCTTCAAAAGTCATCAAGTGTAGTTTTGATTAGAAACCATTCATAATTGACGGTATTTTTCTGTTAAAAACAAGAGATAATTCAAATGAAAGATTGAGTTGACATTTTTTTAGTCAGCAATATTAATATTATAATAGACTAGATTCCTCTAATGGTTGAAAAAGACATAATAAAGTGGATAAACGTGTTAGGGGTACATATGTTCATCTCCTCGGTTTGTTATAACGTATGTGGGATAATTGCGTTACCTTGTAACAATTGAAAGATTATCAGAAACACCGTCTTATATACGAAAACAGAGTGCTTTTATGAAAATTACTCACTGTGATTTGGTACAAGCACTACGTTTAAAATTATAATATTATAAAAAATATAAAGATATAATAATATTATATACCATGTTTTATATTGAATGTCTATGTTCCATTTCGAAAATCTTTTATAATATATAAGACATTTAGCTGCTTTGAATAGTGTGCAGAATAAATTTTCCGTGCAATAAAATGTATATAGTAAACCTCAAATTTAATATGGAGAACGGCAACACATACATTTAGAATAAATTAAAAATTCTTTGGCCAGAAATTTATTTGACAACAAAGCAAAATTTAATTACTATCACACATACAATTTTTGACGAATATGTCTAAAAGAATTATTATAATTTTGGATAAAAATTCTGTGTCAACCTATCTATGATAACCAGCATCTAGTAATGCTAATTTAAGAATTTATTTTTAATGACCACAATGGAATTATAATTTCATAGGTTTTTATTCAACCAACTGTTACTACACGATACCGTTTCTATATCGAACCCTGGGCATTGTTGTTTTTAATTTAGACTTAATCAACGAAGCATTTGTTTGATTGTCCTCCCATCTGTTTCCGAACTTCCGTCCTCTCGTTTAATGGATTAAAATAGCAATAGTCAATGAACTGAAAATCAACTATCATTCTTACTTATTTTTTCTGGTGTATTTATTTATTTCCCCACCTGAAACCCAGAACATTTTTTAATTGTTTTTCTTGTTGGAAAAATTATAATCTTGAATATTGTATAGAAAATGCACGAAGGATATGGTCGAATGTAATAATAGCGATTTTTTATTTATTCATTTTACTTTATTTTTAAAAAAAATACCAGTTGTACTAATAACCATTATAATTAAAAATTATTGATGATGCTGCTGCATATCATGGATAACTTTTAAAATTGATTATATTTATGTACTTAAGCCTTACGATGACTATTTTTAATAGTAAAGGAGAACACTAGAAGTTGAAAAAGTTTAAAATTCTATCTTTTCCTATGCCTGAGATAGTGTGATAATATAACTTATCAGATTATACCCATAGAAGCCTCGTGAGTTTCAGTAAGGATACTCTCCTGACATCATTTCGAAGGTAGCGAGAAAAGTACAACTGATTTATTTTACCTTGAACGTGGCCATATATAAAAAAAAAACAGTTCCTAGTAAAACCATTTTGACTAAAATATCAAAAAGTAATTTAGTATATCAAAGATAATTACCTAAAACAATATTTATAATTGAAACATATTAAAAAGGTTAACACACATACATTATATAAAATTTTTAATATATTTTAATTTATTTTCAAATTGCAAAGAATATCTGAAATAATTCTTCTACGTATTAATATTATATTAACAGTGATAAAAATTCCACGGCTTATTAACAAGAAATTGAAAGATTCTTAGGGTGACTATTATATTACATATATAATTTTAGTTCATTTATGTGCACAACTATCCATAGTGTTAACACAATAGTCCATTATTCAAGTTCTATTCAGATACTGCTTTGTTCCAAAGGCAGATAACATAATGGAGGATCAAAATTTATGGAATCCTTACAGCGTTGTTAAAATAGTAATAATCTTTATATATATAATTCTTCTGTGAGTGTGTATGTCACTGAACTTCTCTCAAACGACTGGACCGATGTTGATGATTTTTTGTGTGTGTTCAAGAGGATCTGGGAATGGTCTAGATTCACAATTTTGTCCGCCGGACAATGTTTTTTTAATTAATTTTTCATTTATTAGTAGTTGTTGATACAAACGTTTTTTTTTGACATTAGATTTAACAACTAACTAATTTGTCAATCATTCTGTCGCACTTTAAAACACGGAGATTTATGGCTTTAATAGGTTAACTCCTATTAAAGCCATAAATCAAAAAAACGTAACCAATATTTCTTGATTATAGGGCGATACGAAGTTCGCCGGGTCTTCAAGTATATTATATAATATAAAACAACCTCTCACTCGTTATTGATTTAAATATGATTTGGTTAATGTGGCTTCTGTTTGCTTAATTTGTGAGATCTTATTATCTATTACATTAATGTACATTAACAGTTTTTTATTTTAGTAAATATTTCATTGATAATATCTATGTACGAAAGCTCTGGGTAAGATGTAAACTTTAACCATCTAACCCTTTTTTTAATAGCTTTGGCCTCGATGTAGATAAAAAAGGTATGTTAACAGCAATATATATAGTAGTTATGTTCCGTGGTTGTACTCGTTCCCATTAGATTATCGAGATTGAGCTTGTCCTATTTCCATCCATAGTATCCAATCTAATTAAGTATCAAATCTTATCATTCTCTAAATGATTTATTTCTTTCAATTCAGAGTGACAGTTTAGAAAATGTCTCGATTTAAACTA